GTTGTCATGCGATTACTCAGCCGGCCTTCTGGGGGTAGCAGGCAGGGCCAACGTTAATGGCCCCAAAGACTCTTCCCTAAGGCTGCGTTCTCCTCCCAGCATGTTGGAATGCAGCCTCCCCAGGGGGAGAGCTGGAGCAAGCCCTTCTGTCTCCAGGGGAGCCGCAGCTCCTGCCTGCAACTTCCAGAGCGCCAGGGATGGAAGGGAGGCCAGAGCTCAGCCCCTCGTGTCCTCGCTCTGCATCTCAGCCAGACACGGGCTAGGCAGGCAGGAATTCCTTAGGTAACGGAAAGAACACAAGAGCTGAAATCCTAGTGGCCCTCCCAGGGTACTGGCCCAGACCCCCTTCCCAGCATGGCTGCCTGTGCCAACGAGCCTGGGTCTGCCCTTGCACACTGCTTCCGGTGGTGCTTTGGCCCCCCAGTGGCCGTGGGTGCGTGCGGGCAGGAGAAGCTGCTCTGCCGGGTGCCATGTCTCAGTCCTCTGGGGCTGACCCCCGCCCCATGGCCGCTCGGACTGACCCTTCCCTGCCTGCAGCAGTCTTGTTCCAGTGTACCTCCTGTAGACCTCTGGGTTTACGTTCTCCGGCTCCTCTGAGGCTTTTGGGTGTGGATTCTGACTAGGCGTTCCTATCGAGTTGGGGAACCTAAAATACCATCAGGGTTCTTGGGGTAAAGAGGGTAGGGATGGAAGTCAGGCAGTGGATTCTGGCAGGTAGTGGATCCAACACGACCCGTAGCTCCTGGGATCTGTGCCCAGGTGCCTGTGTGGGATGATGGGATAGAACTAGGGAAGAAAAAACACGGTGGTAGGAAGGATTGCAGTGGAAAGATACTTCTCCCACCCTGGCCCAGATAGTAAACCAGAAACAACACTCAGCTCTTATCACTGAAGAGAGCCCAGAAAGGGACTTTGTCCACAATGGCTGCTCTACCCCCCTCCCAGAGCTGGCCTCACGGGACAGCGGAGAAGACACTGAGAGCAGCGGTTTGAAGGAACGGGGAGGCACAGGGGTGTCTGGTAACACAGGAGTTGCTTGGCTAGTTGGAACAGAGGCCAGACGGAGTAGGATGGGATAAGAGAGAAGGTGCTAGAATCGGGTGGCAGGGGCCCAAAGAGGACATGTGGTTACCAACTCCAGTGGAGGTGCTCCCACTCTTTGGGGTCAGGATGCGAAGGTCATGATCGAGTTTGCTGCTACCATAGCCAGACTCCAAATGAAACTGGCTACATTTCAGAAACATCAGCTTTGCAGGCTTGGAGGAGAAGACTGCATGGCTTCAATTCCTGGAGAAGGGAGATATTCTGTCGTGAGCCAGCTGTCCCTGACCACTTTCTCCACTGGGTGCCTTTGCGGATTCCACACACGGGATGGAGAACAGGAGGGGTGTACAAGCAGGGGGGATGCAGCCAAACTTCTGGCCAGGTTGTGCAGGGTTGGTGGAAGCACTCAGCTAGGTCTACATTTGCCCGGGGCCTAAGCTGAGTATCCACTGAGGTAGACGGAAATTTGTAGTATCCTCTAGAGCAAATTAGCTTTTCTCCTTGGGCAAGCGGTCCCAGCCAGAAGCCTCAGCAAAGTGCAAAGCTGCCCCTAGCATGGCCAGTTTATTCCCAAAGCTCCCAACCAAGTGATTTCCTCTGGTTCCTGCCTCTCTGCTGTCAAATTGCCTGGCGGTGTCCCCACAATACACGTGATCCCAGCATGGACTCCCGAGCATAAGCATGGTAGGGACAACCCTCTCGCTTTGCAGAAAGGAGCTGGGCTTAAGGAACATGTGCAGAAGGACACGGGTGTCAGGTGTCTCTGCAAGGTCTGCAACTCAGAACTCCCAGTTGTCCTCCCGTGCCACCGGGCCACCCCCAAAGGACAAACCAACAGGATCCCCATGAAAGCCAGGCTGTGCCTCACCCACGGCCTACTGTGACATGGAAGCAGAGTGGACACTCTAAATGGGTCATAGTCCCAGGCACCCTGAGTTCAGATGCCTGGCTTGGCATTGGCCGTCACTGGGGCTAGGGGTCTCGGGTCCCTCATGTCTGGGTTTGAGGCTGCTCTGGCAATATTTTTGGAGATTTGCCCTCTGGATGCCTGATCTCTGACTGGAAGTGGAAAGTTCTCAGATTTGCATGGGCCGGGCCACAGTTCTGTTGACCAGCAGCCAGAGGCGCTAAAAGGAAACATCTGTGCAGGGCGAGGGCAGGAGGGGCGGGAGGGTGGAGTGGGGTGGATCCTCGTTGGGCCAAAATTTTCCGTGTAGTTTGCACTGAAGAGGGTGGAGTGCCCCGAGCTTGTTTTGTATAACTCAGACTTCCAGCAGTGTGGGAGGGAAAACAAAACACTTGAGAACTGACTGGTGCCTGCAGAGCCTGCTTCCTCGAATTTTTTTCTGCCTTTGGGCTGTGTGCTAGAGACAGGTCTGTGTGTATCAGGGAACTGGGGAGGAAAACGCAGGCCCTTGAGGGTGCTGTGTGAGCAGACAAACATCCCCTGGAGGGCAGGTCCCACACTGGGCCACCATTCCTCTCCTGCTGACCTCCTCCCCTGGCAGGCCAGCAGCAGATTGTCCGGACAAGGAGGGGACCCACAGAGCACTCCCTGAGGGTTAGCTGCCATGGTGGTCGACGCCTGGCTAGCACCTGATGGGATGATGTGAAGGTTGGATAGCTGAAAGATGGTGAGTTCGGCACAGGCAACCCAGGAGGTGCAAGCCTCGTCCACGTACAGCCGCAGCCAGCGTGGTTTGTTATAGGGTCCACACTGTAATGGAGACAAGTGGAGCTCCATGAAAGGGGATAGAGGGGAGTGAATGGGAGAAGGGACCAAACAGGACACCATAGGGCCTAGTGCAACGGCTCAGTTCGTTAATCCTTCCCCTTCAAGTGCTGGGATCCCATGTGGGTGCCAGTTTATATCATGGCTGCTCCACTTCCCATCCAGCTCCCTGCTTGTGGCCTGGGAAAGCAGTCAAGGACAGCCCAAGGCCTTGGGACCCTGCACCTGTGGGAGACCCAGAAGAAGCTCCTGGCTCCTGGCTTGGCTCAGCTCAGCTCTGGCTGATTTGCAGCCATTTGGCGGGTGAACCAGCAGATGGAAGATCTTTGTCTCACCTTCTCTTTGTAAATCTGCCTTTCCAAAAAATTAAAGCTTAAAAAAAAAAAAAGAAAAAGAAAAAGACACCATGGCCAATTCCTAGCCTCTTACCTAATGGTTCCAGGAACCAACACTGGGGACCCTCGGTTGGTGGCCCACCAGACAGTAACCTTTATAACAAACCAAAGTTTAATGCTTTGCAAATAAAGAGCTGCCATCCCAGGTAGGGTTTAGGTGATTATGTGGGGCCATCCAACCGGGTCATGGAAAGGGGCATCCCATATCGAGGCGGAGATGGGGGTTAGACCAGGTGAACTCATGCAACCTGCTTCCTAACACAGAGCTCGAGAGTGGCCTACGGCATGGTTTGAGATTCATGGGAGCAATGAAATGTGAGGAAACGCTGGGCAGCATGTGGTGCAGCGGCTCTGGTGCTGCCGGGGACACTGCATCCCATTTTGCAGCCCCAGGTTTAAGGCCTGGCTCAGCTTCCAGTCCTGCTCCCTTCTAAAATACACCATGGGAGTGAGCAGTGGAGGGCTCAGATACTTGGATCCCTGTTACCTGCAGGATAGACCCAGACTAAATTTCAGCCTGTTGGCTTCAGTCTGGCCAGCCCCAGCTGTTGCAGGCATTTGATGAATAAACTAGCAGATGGAAGCTTCTCTCTCTGTTGCTCTGCTTTTCTGAAGGACCATGCCAGCCCCTGCTCCCCACCCAGAGCTCCGACCCTCAGCTCCACCCCAGCGCTCTGGTTCAGACCATTCCCTAAGTCGCACAGGATGCCTCGCATCCCTGAGAAGGTAAGAAAAGCCCCAGTTATTTCAGACCTGGATTTTTTTTTTCCCCTAAACAATCTCCAACTCAAAATAGAAAATAAAGAACACCCTGCCCCTCCTCCATTTGCCAGGCAGCTGTCACCAGGATGGACGTTGCAGGACCCCCTCCCCACCCCCATCACCACTGGACAGCAGCCAGGGACCATCACCGCCCTATACTCCAGCAACCCAGCTCGTGTCCTTGCCTGGGATCTCAGCCTGCCTCCCCCATTCCCCAGCCAGTGGCTGCCAGCTCTGACAGTGGCTGTGGTGGAGTAAGGCCACCTTCTCCCTGCAGCCCCAAGCTGGTCCATGGCCTTGACTTGGTGCACCTGCTTGCTTGTTGTCTCTGTAGATCCTTGAAGCCCCCATAAGCATCCTCTGGAGGCCCTTGACTTTCCATGTGTTCTTCTCGTTATCACGTCTGCGTGTACTAGGTTGTCTGTCCATTCTGGTGCTCAGCTGGTCCCTGATGTTAGCTGCAGGCAGCTCCTTCAAGCCAGCGCCGAGTCCCACACACGTGCTCCTGCTATCCTTTAAGCACTTCCTTGCTTTCTGGCAAAGCAACCTGCTCAGGGACCACCAGCGGCTTCTCCCAGCCTTGAAGTTCCTGGTGTCTCAGGGGTGTGCAGAGCTTGCTGGCTTGCAAGGCATACCCAAGACCAGCTGGGGAGTGGACCCGCCCACGTTCAAGTCCACGGGGGCCATGCACATCTAAATAGTCGTTCTGAGTTTAAATATACCAGCTTTTCTCATTGCATTCATGTAATTCTCTCATGTCATTGAGAAACCTGACTGCACTGTCAAGGGTTTCCAGCTGCTGCCTCTGTGCGCCTGCGTGTGACCAGGCTTGCTGCTGACCCTGCAGGGCCACCCTCCAACCTGCTGGGCCCTGACCTTGCCGCTGTGTTATGGGGGCCCAGCAAGTGGCTCCACCCAGCCCCAGCCCCAGCCCCACCCCAGGGACCACTCCATAAACATGAGCCCTGACAATTGTCAAGGATTTCTCAGAATTTTAGAAAAGCAGGGCCGGGCTGCTGCTGGGCGGGTGTTCCTTGGCCTCCAGGGCCTTCCTCTTTTGGCAGGCATTGATTTTTATTATTTTTTTTTATTTGTGTGTGTTTTTTTTTCATGTTGGCCTGCCTGCTGCCAAAGGCTGGGAGGGTTTCCTGGACAAAAGTTCCGGCGGCCACCGCCTTAAGACAAGAGCCCAGGCCAGGCACGGCTGCCACTGCTCCCCGACCCAGGCACTCTCCGCAGGCAGCAGCATGGAGCTCTGGGCCGCCTCCCTGCTCCTCTGCCTCTTCTCCCTGCTGACCCAGGTCACCGCCGAGTCACCGACTCTCAGGCCACCAAACCCCAAAGTCAAGAAGGCTGCTGCCAATGTCAAGAAAGGTAAGGAGGGGACAGTGAACTTTCTAGATTTGAACCCTTGCCTGCGCTCTTCTCTCCTGCCCTCCCCAACTCAGTCCCACCATACTGTAAAGAAACCAGACCTCTGGCCTGGCAGCATGGGCTTGGTTCTATGCCCCCCCCCGCAAGCCTCAGTTTTTCCAGCTGTGCAATGGGAATGGTGATGTGGGCTCAAAAAGCTTGTCCTGAGACTTAATGATACAAAATAAAGAACAGTCCCTTGCCCCAGTGCCTGGCACAAGACATGCTTGATGCATAGGAAGGAGAAAAGAGCCAGGGACTTCTTTCTCCTTTCTGTCGTGTACCATGGCCTGCTTACTCGCATGCTCATAGCCCGGAAGCAGCCCTCCTCTCCCTTGCCACCTCCAACTGCCCATCTGGCTACAAGAGACCTGCCCTTGGAGCCCAGCCTGCAGTGAGGTCACCCAAGAGCTGTGTGGAGACAACATTGTCATGGCAATGAATTGGACTGTCACCCTGACTAAGTTCTAGGGGACAGTTTCTGGGGGTGGGTGGGATTTTAGACAGAAAATCAGGTGTCTGGGGCAAGAGTGCGGAATGGAATAAAAGGGGCTTGGGGGCTTGCCCTCGGCCCTCTCTAGGCCTCCCTTGCAAGTGGAGGTTGGTATCCACACGGCTGCCATGTAGAACAGGGTGGAGGTAGCTGGAAACAGACTCAGAAGGTCTGCAAAGACAGGACGGCTGCCGCACTGACGTTTGTCTTGGAAAGGGGATTTGTGGGATGATATCGATCAACAGGACCTACAAGATCTGGAAGAAAGGCGGGCCATGGGCAGCCCTGTTGGGGGAGGAGGAGGTTTTCCCTTGCTTGACCATGAAGACCTAAAAGCTGTCGACCATTATTTGGACTTGCCACTGAGGGGCGCTCTTTGCCAAGGACACAGCCTCGAAGGCAGAAGTTAGGCGATTGGAAGGTGGGAGTGTGGGCTTGTGTTACCAGAGGGATCAGGGATGCCCCAATCCTCTCCTTCTGGCACGTCAAGTCCTACCCCAGGTGGGCACACTCCTGAGAGGGGGTCACCTGGAGGCCAGGGCCCTGTGCAGGCCAGTGGCCTTGGCCTGGGCCTGGACTGAAGCTCAGTTCTGTGTTATTCCCTCCACCTGCCCACGCTGCCGGGCCTCTCCCCTGCAGGGACCAGCACCAAATAAGAGACAGGTGGATTGCAGTGCACCAGGGTTTGAAATCCATGCCTGGGTGCTTCACAAGAGTCATTTTTGAGGGCTCTTCGTTGCAGGCCTGGATTTCAGAATGCCCTGTACTATAGCAAACATGCTTTCCTGTGCACTTTGCAAAGTGTCTTCCTATCTCTGTGCCCAGTCCCTGCTCTTAAGATGCCAGCCACAGTGGTTCCCACTCAGACATCAATCAGCAGCTGACATGGGGGATGGAGTTGGGGGAGAGCCTAAAACCCAGGTGCCTGGGCCCCCCCTCCGCAGGCGCTGGTTCAGGGGTCAGGAGTGGGCCTGAGTGACTGCCTTTCCCATGCATGCCCTCATTTTAGTGGGAGCCAGGGGCATGGGCCCCTGGGCTGCGGGAAAGCCAGGAGCAATAGATGAGACCGCCCCTGGCATGGACTGCGAGGCTGTGGAGGAGACAAGCCCCACCACAACCCGTCCACACCTTCTGGCCTTGCCACCATTCTCATTCCCTCTGCACTTCCTCCCAGATATTGTGAGCCCCAAGATGGTGGAGGAGCTCAAGAGCCAGCTGGACAGCCTGGCTCAGGAGGTGGCCCTTCTGAAGGAGCAACAGGCCCTGCAGACAGGTGAGTGTGGGAAGCCAAACACCCCAAGGCGCCCGGTTCGTCCTCCTCTTCCCTCTTGCAGCCGGTGCACCCACCCACTCACCCACCCAGGGGAGCCTCAGCTGACTGCAGAGGGAGCTCTGGGGATGGAGTGACCCCCAGGGCCTCGTGGGGGAGGGGGAGAGTGAACGGAGTCGGGGCTGGAGAGTCCCGTGACAGCAGCGTCTCCCCCTCTCTTAGTCTGCCTGAAGGGCACCAAGGTGCACATGAAGTGCTTCCTGGCCTTCGCCCAGGCCAAGACCTTCCACCAGGCCAGCGAGGACTGCATCTCGCGCGGTGGCACCCTGGGCACCCCACAGTCGGGCTCGGAGAACGACGCCCTATACGAGTACCTGCGCCAGAGCCTGGGCGCCGAGGCCGAGATCTGGCTGGGCCTCAACGACATGGCAGCGGAGGGTGCCTGGGTGGACATGACCGGCGGCAGCATCACCTACAAGAACTGGGAGACGGAGATCACGGCGCAGCCAGACGGCGGCAAGGCGGAGAACTGCGCTGCACTGGCGGGCGCCGCCAACGGCAAGTGGTTCGACAAGCGCTGCCGCGATGCGCTGCCCTACATCTGCCAGTTCGCCATCGTGTAGGGCCTGGAGGGGAGACGCCAGAGTGGGCAAGGCCTGGGCTGGAAGCCGGGGTTGGGAGCACGGAGAGAACCCATTTGACTTTTCCCTCTTCGGCCAGAAAAGTGGCCCAGATCCCTGAATGCTTGGGATTAACCTCTGCCTTCGCTTGTTTAAGCCTCTGCGTGTGTTATTTGTGAGCAATGCGTGATGTGTGCGCGATGTGTGTGCGTGTGTGTGTGTAGGGGGGTTGGAGTGGCTTGGTGTCACAGCTGTCGCTCACAGAGCCCCGGCCCCACCCCCTGCCACACTCAGGAACTTTACACCTGTTCTTTCTCTAACTCGGTCTCAGCCACCCAGGACACGATGCCGGTGCTGTCTCCCTTTTGCAGAACAGAAAGTCTGTGCCCAAGGGGAGCTCAGGGACTTGGGTTGGCTACAGAGCTGGGACCACCCCCGCTCACCCCTCTCCCATCCCTGGCTTGATCTGGAAGGCCTTGACCGCTGGCTGGCTTCTTGTGACTAGAAACAAAACACCAGCCAAGGGCCCAGTGCACCCAGTGAGGCGTCTTCCTTGTCCAATCTGGCAAACACCCTTTCCTCCCTGCTTCTCCTTGAGCTTGTGTGGTGAGCGGTTGGAAGATAAGCTGATAAGGGATGGGGTGGATGGGGTGGATGGGGAGGCAGCCTGCAGGGCTCCCGTGCTCACACTTGGTGCAGGTCCGGCTGCACGGAAGCAGCTCCTGTGGTCAGCCTTTAGGGCAGGGAGCTGATGTCTCCACCGCTGAGGGAGCCCACAGACACTGGGACTCCCTAGAGCCCGCGGAGCAGGAGGCAGAGCGGAGCCACATACACACAAACACGTTCTACTCGGCTTCCTCGCGGAATGCAAGTGGCCAGGGGTGTGAAGCTCCTGTCTGCTGGAGGGGGTCATGCCCCTGGTCCAGGAGAAGGAACTGCTGGACGCCTTGGACAGGGAGCCCGCACTGCCAGCTTCTGGCAGCAGGTGGCAGTGTGGACAACAGAATCTTCACCATTCATCTCCAGCACAGAGGCCCTTCGCTTTGGGAAGACTTTGACCGGCACATTTTCTAATTAAAAATATTTGATTGACACACACGATGCATACCAAGAAATGCATGCAAGTGTATAGATCAGTGAGTTCTTTGTCCTCTGATCATACAAAGCGAGACCATTTTGCTAAGTGAATTAAGCCACATCCCCCCCAAAACAAATAGCATACATTGTCCCTAATTAGTGGTAGTTAATATGCAGAAAAAGTATAAAGATTGTGTGGCTGTCTTCTAGCTATTTGGCAGCATCTAGGCATAACTATTGTTTCAGTGAATCATACCACATACATGCCAATACACTTTTCTACTTTAAAATTTATTTATTGTTATTGGAAGGGTAGATTTACAGAGAGAAGGAAGGACAGAAAGATCTTCCATCTGCTGGTTCACTCCCCAAGTGGTTGCAATGGCCAGAGCTGTGCCGCCGATCCAAAGCCAGGAGCCAGGAGCTTCTTCTGGGTCCCCCACACGGGTGCAGGGTCCCAAGCCTTGGGCCATCCTCTGCTGCTTTCCCAGGCCACAAGCAGGGAGCTGGGTAGAAGTGGAGCAGCCAGGACATGAACCAGCACCCACATGGGATTCTGGCACATGCAAGGTGAGGACTTTAGCCACTAGGGTACCATGCTGGACCCCCAATATACTTCACCAAAAATAAATAAAAGCAATGACATTGGTGCCGAATCCTATTTCACTCTGGGATCCATGAATCAAAACAACCCACCACAACACAAACTAGTACCCTTGCCCCCTTTTACTCTCCCCCTCCCCCCCAAAAAAACAAGGTGGACAACCTACCTAGGAGCTAAGGCACCTGCCCTCCATCTCTGGGTGCCCAGAGTCAAGTCCTGGGAGTGCTCAGGGTACACTCAGCTTCCTGCCAGTGCCAACCTGCGAGGCAACAGGCATACTCCAAGTGGCTGGGAGCCTGCCACCCACACAGGAGAGGTGGGCTGAGTTCCTGGCTCCCAGCCTTCTCCCATTGCCGCTGCTGACATTTGGGGCGTGAACCAGAGAACTATATGCTTAACAAAATGGTCTGTCTAAAAAAAAGGGGGTGGGGGGGAATCACCCTATGAACAGAATGATGTTAAAAAATTTTTTTTAAATTCAGATACACAGAGAGGAGAAAAGACAGAGAGAAAGATCTTCCGTCTGAATGGATTAAAATTTTTAAAAAAATAGATAGTAGGAGCCCAAACATTTGGGTCACTTTCTGTTGCTTTCACAGGCCATTGCTAGGGTGCTGGATGGGAAGTGGAACACCCAGGACTCGAAGTGGCACCCACATGGAAAGCCATTACACTAAGTGATGGCTCTACTTGCTATATCACTATGCCAGTCCCACGTTTTTAATTTTAAATAAATTTTATTGAGCTATAATTTATATATATTAAGTTATACCCATTATGAATATACACCTGACAGTTCGATACACAATAACATATATGGCGATAACACCATAACCTTTAAGGTTATCTTTTCTATTGACCAGATTCATGTCCACGCCGGTTACCTGCTAGTCAAGACCCACCTGAGCAGCAGAACACACTGTCCAGCATATCTTGCACCGTCTCCTGGGCTGCTGCCTCAGATGACACCACTGCCACCGCAAGTTCTCTGTGTCCTTGGATTTCTCAGTAACCATGGGAGCAGGACATGGGCCCTGTCCCAACACGGTCTGCCAAGCCAGTATTTGGATGAATGAGTTGTTTATGCAGCTTCCTTCTCGGTGTCTTTCTGGAATGGAGAGGCACATCGCTTAGGAATGTTTGACTTTCTTAGGAATTGGGGCTCTCGGACTGCAGACGTCACGGGCTAATGCCCCGAGCAGCTCCCAAGTCCTTAGGTGTCGTCCATTTCTAGACCAAGACAGTAAACTCTCCTGTCATTCTGCTAAGTTGTCTTCCTGGTTTCCTGTCACATTCTGGGGAGAGGGGCCATCCCTTGCCATCCTAAGCAGGTCCGGACCCTATTGCTGGAGCAAGACCTGCCAGGGGGACAGTCAGGCTGGGCCCCAAAGGCTACCCTTAGCTCCATTTTAATACTGAGGTCTCTGGGCAGCCTAGCAGACAAAGCCGCCACCAGCAATGCCAGCATCCCATAGGGGCTCTCATTTGAGTCCTGGCTGCTCCACTTCCCATCCAGCTCCCTGCTTGTAGCCTGGGAAAGCAGTAGAGGATGGCTAGTTCTTGGGACCCTGCACCCACATGGGAGACCAGGATAAAGCTCTTGGAGCCTGGCTTCAGACTGGCTCGGCTCCAGTTGTTGCAGCTATTTGGAGAGTGAACCAGCAGATGGAAGACTTTCTCTGACTCTCCCTCTCTAACTCAGTCTGTCAAATAAAATAAATAAATCTTAGAAAAAAATCAGCCTGAGGTCTTTGCACAGTGAAGCCTAACACTTATTACCACCACCCACAGCCTATGCTGGTCCAGGCTGCCAATCTGCACCTGTGGTGCCTTGTGCTCACCCAGATGCCAGTGGACAAGGACACCCCCCTCCCAGGCTCATGTCCCCTGACAGATTTCCTGACAGCTCTAGGGACTATCCCCTGTGACTCGTGATGTCACATGAATCCCACCGAGTGACAACTCCTTCCGAGGCAGTTCTGAGGTAGCAAAAGTACCTGCTGGCTCTTCTTCCTCATCTTTCAGTCCTGCTGTCTGACCCAGTGGCAGCGTAACTTGCGACCTAGGTCACCGAGTCCCAAAGGCCTACATCTGCCTGCGCCACCAAGTCTGGAAGGGCCATGTCACCAGGGATGCCACATAAAAGGCATGCCATGCTCCCCTCCCCTCCACTTCCGGGTCTCCAGCCTGGATGGGATGCTGAGAAAGCCCACACATTGGTAGAAACTGCACTTGGAATTCAGGCTTTTTCCAGAGCTGTCTCCCTGCAGCCGGACTGTCAACCAGGCTGCCTTGGGGAATGGAAAGCTGACACTGTAGGGCACCGGGTCACTGAGCTGGGACAGGTCAGGCAACTCATTACATTTTTTTTTTAAGATTTATTTTCGTTGGAAAGGCAGATTTACAGAGAGAAGGAGAGAGAGAGAGAAAGATCTTCCATATGCTGATTCACTCCCCAAGTGGCCACAATGGCTGGAGCTGAACCAAACCAAAGCCATGAGCCTCTTCTGGATCTCCCATCAGATGCAGGGTCCTAAGGCCCTGGACCATTCTCCACTGCTTTCCCAGGCCACAAGCAGGGAGCTGGATGGGAAGTGGAGCAGCCAGGACATGAACCAGCACCCATAAGGGATGCCAGCGCTTGATGGTAGAGAATTAGCCTACCACACTGGCCATGTAAAATTAGGGTAGTAAATATAGTTTTAAGCAATAATAAGGATTAATTAAGGATCTTAATAAGTTAGTGTGAAGTAGATGAGGAAAAGATCATGAATCATAAAGAGATGTTTGAACACCAGGCAACCTTAGAGCGGCAGTCATTTGCTTCTGTACTGATTGCTTTTGCTTTATGTGTAAGAGCCAAGACTAACGCCATGATAGGCATTAAGTAAGACAGTAGGCCTAAGCTTCATTTCCCAAAAGTGGCGGTGCAGGCTCTAGGAAACCACCCCAGAGAAATGGAACCAACAGAAAAAGAGATAAAAAGCCCCTCGCCTTGGGTGAGGACACCAGACCAATCATTGCTGACTCACATTCCTTTGTGTAACTTGATCTGTGCTATGTGAACATGCAGACTGTGACTAAGAAGAGACAATGTGCGTGGTGCACGTGACTAGGAGGAAATAAAAGCTGCCTGGAAGAGATGAGCAGGGCCCTCGTCCAGACTCCACTGTGTTGGATGGGACTCAGACCCTAGCTCGAGCTAGCGATAAAGCTTCTTTGCTTTTACATGGTTACCTGTGGAACTCATCTGTCCGGGGCTCTTCTGGACCTAACATTCAGCCACAAGCAGGGAAGTGGAGCAGCCGGGACACAAACCAGGACCCATAAGGGATGCCAGCGCTTGGAGGTAGAGAATGAGCCTACT